CCTCCCCTCTAGAACCCTCAGTTTGTTTCTCAGAGTCCATAGTCTCTCATGGTTCATCTCCCCCTCCGATTTCCCCGCCTTCATTCTTCCCTTCCTACCCATTTTTAAAAAATGTTTAATTGAGATATAATTGACATACAACCTTGTATTAGTCTTAGTTGTATAAGATAGTTATATAACTAAAAGTTTGTACCTTTTGACCCCCTTCACCCATTTTGCCCACCCCCATCCCTCACCTCTGGCAACCACCAGTGTGTTCTCTGTTATCTTTGAGGTTGTTTTTTTTTAAAGATTCCACATATAAGTGATATCATATTAGTGTTTGTCTTTCTCTTACTTATATCACTTAGCATAATGCTCTCAGGGTTCATCCATGTTGTTGCAAGTAGCAGAATTTCCTTATTTTTTAAGGCCAAGTAGTATTGCATTGTGTGTCTATGTATATATACATACCGTATTTTCTTTATTCATGTATCAGTGCACGCTTAGATTGTTTCCGTGCGTTGGCTATTATACATAATGCTCCAGTGAATATAGAGGTGTAGATATCTTTTCAAGATAGTGGTTTTGTTTCCTTTGGATACAATACCCAGAAGTGGAATTGTTGGGTGATATGGTAATTTTATTTTTAAATTTTTGATGAACCTCCACACTTTTTTTTCCCCTTTTTTAAACACTTATTTATTTTAGAGAGAGAGTGCACATGCTTACAGTAGTGGAGGGAGGGGCACAGAGAAGCAGACTCCCTGCTGAGCGCAGAGCCCATCGTGGGGCTTGATATCATGACTCTGAGATCATGACCTGAGCCGAAATCATGAGTCACATGGTTCACCGACTGAGCCACCCAGGTGCCCCTGATACTGTCTTCCATAGTGGCTGTACCAATGCTACCAACAGTGCACCAGGGTTCTCTTTTCTCCCATGCTTTGTTATTTGATGATAGCCATCCTAACAAGTGTGAAGTGATATTTCATTGTGGTTTTGATTTGCATTTCGCGATGATTAGTGATGCTGAAGACCTTTTCAGGTACCTATTGGCTATTTGTATGTCTTCTCTAGAAAAATGTCTATCCAGATCCTCTGCCTATTTTTCAATCAGATTTTTGGGTTTTTTTTTCTGCTGTTGAGTCGAATGAGTTCTTTGTATAGTTTTTATGTTAACCTTTTATCATATAGTTGCAAATATTTTCTCCTAGTCTATAGGTTTCTTTTTCGTTATGTTGATGGTTTCCTTTGCTGTACAAAAGCGTTTTATAGTTTTATGTAGTCCCACTTACACATTTTTGCTTTTGTTTCCTTTGCTTTTTTTATGTCAGATCCAGTAAATCATTGCCAAGTCAGTGTCTGGAGCTTATTCCCTATTTTTTTTCTGGTACTGTTATGGTTCCAAGTGTTATGTTCAAGGCTAATCCATTTTGAGTTGAGTTGTATATGGTATAAGGTTTCAGTTTCATTTCTTTTGCATGTGGCTCTCTAGTTTTCCCAATACCATTTATCGAGGAATCTGTTGCTTCTCCATTGTATATTCTTGATGCCTTTGTCATAAATTAATTGACCGTATATGTGTGGATTTATTTTTGGGTTCTTTATTCTGTTTTGTTGATCCATGTTTGTGTCTTAATGCTAATACCATACCATTTTGATTACTATCACTTTGTGATATGGTTTGAAATCAGGAAGTTTGATGCTTCCAGCTTTGTTCTTCTTTGTTAGGATTGCCTTGGCTATTGGGGTCCTTTTGTGGTTCCATACAAATTTTAGGTTTGTTGTTTCTAGTTCTGTGAAAAATGCCATTGGACTCTTGATAGGGATTGCATTGACTCTGTTGATTGCTCTGGGTATATGGATATTTTAACAGTGCTAAATCTTCTATTTCATAGACACAGAATATCTTTCCATTTATTTGTGTTATTTTCGATTTCTTGTATCAGTGTCTTACAATTTTCAAAAGTGTATAGGTCTTTAGTTCCTTGATTACATTTATCCCTTGGCATTTTATTCTTCTTGATGCAATTGTAAATGGAATTGTTTTCTTTTCTTTTTTTTTTTTTAAAGATTTTATTTATTTGAGAGAGAGAGAGAATGAGAGATAGCACGAGAGGGAAGAGGGTCAGAGGGAGAAGCAGACTCCCTGCTGAGCAGGGAGCCCGATGTGGGACTCGATCCCAGGACTCCAGGATCATGACCTGAGCCGAAGGCAGTCGCTCAACCAACTGAGCCACCCAGGCGCCCGGAATTGTTTTCTTAATTTCTCTTTCTAATAGTCTGTTATCAGTACATAGAAACACAACAGGGGCACCTAGGTGGCTCAGTTGGTTAAGCGTCTGCCTTTGGCTCAGGTCATGATCCCAGGGTCCTGGGATTGAGCCCATCAGGCTCCCTGCTCAGTGGAGAGCCTGCTTCTCCTTCCTCCTCTGCCACTCCCCCTGCTTGTACTCTCTTTCTGTCAAATAAATAATCTTTAAAAAAAAAAAAAAAAAACACAACTGATTTTTGTGTTTTCATTTTGTCTTCTACAAATTTTCTATATATAATTGCATGTCATCTGCAAATAGTGACAGTTCAACTTATTCTTTTTCAATTTGGATGCCTTTTATTTTTCTTGCCCAGTTTCTCTGGCTAGGACTTCCAGTACTATGTTGAATAAGAGTAGTGAGAGTGTGCATCTTGTCTTTTTGCTGAACAGGAAGACAAGGTTGGAAGTAATAAGCTTGAGAGGAGGGTCTTTGTGGAGCTGAAACTCTGACCTCTGAGGAGGCACAGCTCTCTGGTGCTGGTGTCTCTTAGAGGAGGCAGAGGTGGGGGGGACCTGTGATGAAGCGGGTTCTCCAAACCTTGGAAAAACAGCCAACTGTATTTAGCTGCTCCTATGAAGACACAGTGCTGCTGTAGGGATGAATAAGCCTTCTGGGTGATGTTCTTGAGAACACAAGCAAGGCTACAGGAAGCAAAAAGGAAGGAACAAGACCCTTCTTCCTCCCCCAGCCTCATACTCTGTCCTTCTAGGGCCACCTGGCAAAGCAGATATGGAGTGTGCAGTTTGCCCGCTCCAGCGCCACAGAGCAGGTTATAGAAGGGTGGAGTTGGAGCTGAGAACAAATAATGTAATAGTGGCACATCATGCTAGATTCATTCTACCTCTGCAGATCCAGTCCATCACCAAGTCCTGTCAACTCTACCTCTGAACCAAATCTCAAGTTTGTCCACTTCTCTTTGTCAGTACTGCGGTCTCTTAGGTCCACTTGGGTTCCTTTCCACTGGCCTACTACAATGGCTCAATCACTAGTCTGTGATTCCAGTCTTACTCTTTTATAGTTCATTCCCCAAACAGTAACCAAAGTGGTCTTTTCTATGTATAAATCAAACCCTGTACTTCCCTTCCTAAACTAGCTGGCAGATCTTCTTTGTACTTAGAATAAATTCCATATTTTTTTTTAAGATTTTATTTATTTATTAGAGAGAGAGAGAGTGCAGGAGCAGAGGGAGAGGCAGACTTCCCGCTGAGCAGGGAGCTCGATGCGGGGCTTGATCCCAGGACCCTGGGATCATGACCTGAGCTGAAGGCAGACGCCTAACCAACTGAACCACCCAGGCGCCCCCTAAATTCCATATTCTTAACTGGGGTCCATAAGGCGATATGTGGTCTGTTCTGTTTGTCTCTACCCGATTTCCTATTCTTCCTTCCTCCCTCCTTATATTCCTGATAAACTGGGCTTACCACTGTGAGCCCTTCTCACTCTCTGATAATAACATACTTACTGATTTACTCTGTTTTGTTTGGTTTCTTTGCTTGAATTATACTTCCATTAACGTAGCATCCTTGTTTTGTTCACCACTTAATCTTCAGTACCTGGAGACATGCTTGGCACGAATGGATGAATCTTGGATTCTTTCCCTCCCCTTCCCTCCGCCTGCTCCCAACTCCGTCTCCCCCAGGGCCCATATCCCAATAGTCACCAGAACCTATGGGGTTCTAGTTCTTGGGTTTCTACTGTGAATGGCAGGTGATGAGGGATTTATGTTAGGAAGCAAACCCTGTACAGTGGTGTGAGGACGGGGGATGTAAAGGATGGAGGATCAGAGAAAAGTTCCTGGTTTCCTGAAGCACTGGTGTGGGAGATCAACTAGAGCTTGTAGGGGAGTCCAACTGGCATGGCCAGTGCCAGAGGGAGCCACAAAGGGGAAGCTTGTGAGAGGTCTCTGGTAAGATCTCTCTGAATAGCTGTCAGCGCTGTGGGTCTGCTGCCAAGCATGTAGTGGGGCCTGTTGGTGGGCAAGGCCTACAGTTGGGAAGAAGTGCAAAAAAAAACTAGGACAAGCTAGAACTGGCTGGGCACCTCTGCATCTATCCCTCTTCCCATCTGCCTGGAAAGATCTTCAGAGAGTCATGGTAGCTGGTAGTTCACTTCTGCCTGCCCCACCTTGCACAAGGTCCTCTTTTGGGCCAGCTCTCACCTGGAGCCATACAGGGAACGTGGTTCCCAGCTTCCTAGAGTTGACAGTAGATGCACCCAGCTCGACACCCTGTGAGTTAGCCCGACGGACCTGCTGGCTGTTGTCTGACTATGACAGGTCATTTAATGCCGGCGTCTTTGCAGTGTATGTGCTTTGTCTCTGCCTGGTGGTTTCTTCTGCCCTTCCTAGTGAGTTTCTCATGTCCTTCAAGACCCAAATCAAATGTTACCTCCTGGAAACCTTCACGACTTCCCCAACCACAACCTTCTCTGTTTTCATAGTAGTCCTCTAGCTTTGCATTTAGCAGTTTCGACCACAGTTCCTTTCCACTTTGTCCAATTAGTTCAGGTACTTAAGGACAACTTGTCTAGTGATGGAAACGTTCATGACAAATACGAGCCCAGAATGGTTTCCCAGAAATAAGTTCTGTAAAAACCAGCGCATTCACCAAAAGCTTTCTGGTCTGATTTTGCCACACTTGGAAGATAGTGGTGGTAGCAGGGATACCTTACTTCTTGTCAGTGGTAAGAGATTCCACATGCTATGGCCACTGCCACTGCCTCTTGAAGTTACTGGTCAGAGGGTGCAGACCAGCACACAGCTTACTGGAAATAGTATTAGTTTTAGTATTCCCTCTCTTCAACAGTGAGTTTGCCTGCGGGCCAGAACAGTGTTTCTGAAGAACCAGTTAGAAGTGGCCTGCCTACTCCGAAAGGCCAGGCAGCCAACTGCAGATTAGATATCTCGAGCTGGGGAAAGAAAATCCAGCATCCATTGCTTAACTGCGTTATGGTAAGATGTCATTTACTCCTTAAGGATAGGAAGTGGGCCACTTGGTGTTTTCTCTTTTCCAGATTACAAGGCACTTGGTATCTTGAAGCGGCAGTTCCCTAACACCGCACTAATAGGGCTGACTGCAACCGCAACAAGCCATGTTCTGAAGGATGCCCAGAAAATACTGTGTGTGGAGAAGTGTTTTACTTTCACAGCTTCTTTTAATCGGCCGAATCTTTATTATGAGGTAACTTGTGTGTCAGTTTATTACTTTTGTGAAGGATTGCAGTGGAGGTTACCTTTTCCTTATGTTTATTTACATGAGTAACAATTAACTCTGTTTAAAAGTTTTTAAAATCAGGAGGCGATTATAAGCAGATCAGTAACTAATGCTTTCTTCATGTATCTCTGTTGCTGCATAAATCCTTTGCTGGGTTAAATAAAAGACATCACCTTGTAAAATTGTTGCATGTTCTTGTGCAGGGATGGAGGGAAGGCATAGGTTGATACCAAGGACTCTAATGACATTTCTTGAAGTTACTTACAAAATAATACATTACTATGCCAGTAAAGATTTGCTGATTCTCCATTTAGATTATATAGCTTAACAGCTGTTTCTTTCCTTTTCTAATCCTTTTAAAAGAATAGATAATATTTTTCTGAGTTTTCACTGAAATTATTTATGCCATGGTTTATGTTTTTATGAAAGTAGCATCAGAAAATAGGGGCACCTGGGTGGCTCAGTCAATTAAGCATTGAACTCTTGATCACAGCTTAGCTCTTGATTTCGGTTGTGAGTTCAAGCCCCACGTTGGACTCCACACTGGACATGGAGCCTACTTAAAAAACAAAAAAGACCCAGAAAATAAAAAGGTCTCCATCTTTACAAACTGTTTGCTGCTTCTGTGCCTCTTCTTCCCCGGTAAATTCAAAACCAAGAATCAAGAAGAGTCAGGAAGGTGAATATAAGAATAAGAGAAAAAGCACCGTGCCCATAAAAGCATGGTACCCTGAAAGTTGTAAGTAAACAGCTACATGGATGGTGCTCATTAATTTACTCTGTAATAAGTTAGCTTTTTCTTAGGTTCGGCAGAAGCCCTGCAACACCGAGGATTTTATTGAGGATATTGTAAATCTCATTAATGGGAGATACAAAGGGCAATCAGGTAATATAAAAACAAACCAACTTTGAAGACTGAGAGAGAACTTTTGAAAAGTAATTAATATTACACTGATCTACTGATAAATGATTAGCAACCAAAAATATTAGTGCATGGCAGAAGATACTTGAAAATGGTATGATAAAATTCATTTGCTTGGTGATCTTAGAAATTGGGTGTGTCATTGCTCATGGGACAGATTATGAGTCATAAAACTTTATTTTTGTTTATTTGCACCTAATTGCTTTAAACAGCGGACCTAATGATATAATGCATATTTATATACATATTTAGTAAGTATTCACTGTGTATAAGATAGAAGGTTAAGCAGTGATTTTCTGAAGGGATGTAATATACAGTCCTTTATAGCAAAGGACACATTAAGGAATAAATAGTACATGTTGAATGAGTTAACTGTAGATGGAGTTGAGAGTATTTGTCTATATGTTCCAGGATTAATGCATAGACAGGTGTTACTGAAGCACAGAGTTTGTGTAAAAGTGAGCATTTCAAAGCTGTTCTACAGCTTTTCAGGAGATATTAATGGTGCCCTGGGTGAAAGGAGCTCCAGGGTCAAATTTGAGAAAGACTGCAGCTCTTTATCCCTCTTGGAGCTTCACAGGGTTTATCAGTCAGCACATGAGAAGTTCTGGCCAGCCCTGCAAATAGAGAAATCTGTTACCTGTGTTCAGTGCAGGTCCCCAGTCACTTGCACATGAAACTTTTCACATCATACTCGAGAGAAAAAAGAGGTAATGGGAACCAAGACTGGTGGCCCAGGGCTTATTTGTGCTTTAGAGCAAGCTGCTGATCAAATCTTGAATTATATGAGAAAGCCATTATGTGTCAGGACCTTGGAATTTTTTCTAAATCTTTTTCTACCATGCATTATATTAATCAATATCTTGAATGTGTGTTAAAAATATTATATATCTAACAATTGAACATATTTTACTACAGGAATTATATATTGCTTTTCTCAGAAAGACTCTGAGCAAGTTACAGGTAGTTTGCAGAAACTGGGAATTCAAGCAGGAGCATACCATGCCAATATGGAACCGGAAGATAAGACCAATATTCATCAAAGATGGTCAGCCAATGAAATTCAGGTTAAGTATATATCTTCAATAGAGTCCTAGTTAACATTTAAAAATATTTTAACTTGATTTAATTAACATAAAATGTTAAAACATTTTAGGTAGTAGTGGCCACAGTTGCATTTGGTATGGGAATTGATAAACCAGATGTGAGGTTTGTTATCCATCATTCAATGAGTAAATCTATTGAAAATTATTACCAAGAGAGTGGACGTGCAGGTATGTACAACTCTTATCCAGAAGTAAATTTTAACAAAGCTTTTCTAAAAAAACACACTGTAGATGATGTTTAATGATTCTGTATTTTTACACTTGATCTTAGCCAAAAGGCCGAGAAGTGATTGTGATTCTGTATTTTTAATCTTTATTAGTGGGGCGCCTGGGTGGCTCAGTTGGTTAAGCGACTGCCTTCGGCTCGGGTCATGATCCTGGAGTCCCGGGATCGAGTCCCGCATCGGGCTCCCTGCTCAGCAGGGAGTCTGCTTCTCCCTCTGACCCTCTTCCCTCTCGTGCTCTCTCTCTTTCTCTCTCAAATAAATAAATAAAATATTTTTTTAAAAAATCTTCTTTATTAGCTAGTATTTTAGAACAATGAAGTCATTTTTGTAGTTTTTTTAATTTTTAGTTTTTATTTTTTTTGCAGTTTTATACTTAATTGTACCTATGTACTTAAGTGCTTATCTTACTTGTATGGGAGTGTTATGAATTGTTTCCTATGTTTGCTAAGATCATTTGATGTCCATTTTTGCCTTCTGAATTTTTAATTAGTGGTTTCAAGTTTATAACTTCAGTAACTAGATTATGCACATATTTTTTTAAGTTATAAAGCTGATTGTTGATAAGTCTTTAGTCATTTTTTTTCTTTTTATAATTTGAGGGCAGCTGTTAAAAATTTTCATTTCTCTGAAATTTCTAGATGCGATATATGTATACTGTGAAGCATGGTCAGCTGATTTTATACATACTATTTTTGCATATTTTGAAATTTTCAAGTAATAATACAATCTCAAGATTTCTCACACTATAGGTCGAGATGACATGAAAGCAGACTGTGTTTTGTATTATGGCTTTGGAGATATATTCAGAATAAGTTCAATGGTGGTGATGGAAAATGTGGGACAACAGAAGCTTTATGAGATGGTGTCATACTGTCAAAACACAAGCAAGTAAGCCACATACCTTTTTATAACTTGTCATTTAAACATAAGCACTATATGAAATTACTTTGAGTATTTGCTCAGTAAGTCAATACACTGGTAGAATATCAACTACAAACCTGTAAAAGCAAATGTCAGTACATGAATCCTCAGGATCTGCCTTAATTCAAGAAGAGAGATTCTCTCTCTCTCCCTGATAATCCTCCAAAACTATTTTTTATTGTTTTGTTTTTAAAGTAAAACAAGCATATTGAGATGCTGATTTTAATTAAAGAATAACTGACGTACAATATTGTATTAGTTTCAGGTATACAACATAGTGAATCAGTATTCATATACATTACGAAATGGTCACCACAGTAAGTCTAGTGACCCTCTGTCACCCTACAGAGTTGTTACAATATTAAGGACTATATTCCCTCGGCTGTGTATTACATCCCCTGGTCATCTTTATTTTATAACTGGAAGATTGTACCTCTTAATCCCCTTCACCTTATTTCATCCATCCCCCTTTTATTGAAAGTTTTGATACAGATGAGTCCAAGCCTTTTTTCTCTGGCTCTGGAATATAGCTACATGCTTCACTAATTTTGAAAAGGTATATATGATAGGCATTTTGAGAGCTGAGCTTGGTAACAGGTACCATCTCACCAGCTGATGAGCTGATGAAATAGTTGAGAGCAGGGTTAACTTTCTCCTTAAGAAATAAATTTAAATCTATTTAGGGTGGTTTTAGTTAGACCATATAGTTCCCTGATGGCTTTTCAGTATTAGTCATTTTTATACTCTTACTGCCCATCCTAAAAAGGACTCAAAAATTTTGAACTTATAAGCAGTTACTGGACTGTGACAGAAAATGTCATTTCTTTCCTATAGGTGGTGCAACAATCTAGTTAAAGAAATAAGAAAATGAAAATTTCCTTAGATATCCAATAGACTCCCAAGAAGCATATTTTGGGGTTTAGAGTCAAATACAAGAAACTGCTTTGCTATCAGGGAAATTCTCTTAATTTTTGCACAGTATTGAATCTCAGAATCTTAGACAACTTCTAAAAGAAGTATTTATCAAATACATATGGAAAAAATTATATGTGGTAGGCAGAAGAACAGTCTCCCAGAGACTAGGGTATAACCCTGGGTTGTTTGGATGGGTCCAGTATAATCACAAGGGTCCTTAAATATGGAAGGAAGCAGGGAAGGTCAGAATGATACTCGTTGGCTTTGAAGATGGAGGAAAGGGAGGCATGAGCCAAGGAATTCACGAAGGAAACAGCTTCTGCCTTAGAGCCTCCAGAAAAAATCCCTCCCTGATGACACCTTGATTTTAAGCCAGAGAGACCCATATCAGACTTCTATAGAAATTTAAGATAATAAATTTGTGTTGTTTTAAGCCACTAAGCTTGTGGTAATGTTATGACAGCATTAGGAAACTAATATAATGTATAACTCTGTGTTTTGAAATAGGGATTCTTAAAACTTCTTAGGTCATTTAATGATTTGTATCTCTAAATGTGTTTGCAGGTGTCGCCGTGTATTGATAGCTCAACATTTTGATGAAGTGTGGAATTCAGAAGCATGCAACAGAATGTGTGATAATTGTTGTAAAGACATTGGTGAGTTCACTGTTTTTCTAATTGAAGTAGTGTTACGTTAGTGTCAGGTGTACAACATAGTGATTCCATTAAGTCTGCACACTGTGCTGCCCACTACAAGTGTAGCTACCATCCGTCACTGTGCAGTGCTGTTACAGTACCACTGTCTATATATTTCCTGTGCTGTACCTCTCACCGCATGACTTACTCATTCCATACCTGTAAGCCTATACTCCCACTTCCCTTCATCCGTTTTACCCATCCCCCCACCTCCCTCCCCTCTGGCAAACATTGGTTTGTTTTCTGTATTAAGTGAAATCCTATGGTATTGTCTTTGTCTGACTTATTTCACTTAGCATAATACCCTCTGCCCATTCGTATTGTTGCAAATAACAAGATCTCATTCTTTTTTATGGCTAATACTGCATTGTGTATATATACCACAATGGCATATCAGTGGACACTTGGGATGCTACCATAACTTGGCTATAAATGTAGTGGTACATATATCTTTTCAAATTAGTGTTTTTGTTTTTTGGGGGGGTAAGTACTGGGTAGGGGAATTACAGGATCATGTGGTAGTTCTGTTTTGAATTTTTTGAGGAACCTCCGTACTGTCTTCCACCGTGGCTGCATCAGTTTGTATTGCTGTCAACAGTGTTCAAGGGTTCCATTTTCTCCACATCCTCACCAACATTTGTTTCTTGTGTTTTTGATTCTAGCAATTCTTACAGGTGTGAGGCGATATCTCACTGTGGTTTTGATTTGCATTTCCCTAATGATTAGTGATGGTGAGCATCTTTCATTGTGTCCGTTGGCTGTTTGTAGGTATTATTTGGGAAAATGTCTATTCAGGTCTTCTGCCCATTTTTAATTGGATGATTGTTGTTTTTTGATTTTGAGTTGTATAAGTTCTTTATATATCTTGGATACTAACCTTTTATCGGATATGTCATTTGCAAATATTTTCTCTCATTCAGTAGATTGTCTTTTAGTTTTGTTGATGGCTTTCTTCACTGTGCAAAAGCTTTTTGGTTTGCTGTGGTCCTGGTAATTTATTTTTGCTTTTGTTTCCCTTGCATGAGGAGACATATTCAGAAAAATGTTGCTATGGCCAATGTCAGAGAAATTACTGCCTATGTTCTCTTCTGGCATTTTATGTTTACAGGTCTTACATTTAGGTCTTTAATCCATTTTGAATTTGTTTTTGTATATGGGAAGAAAGTGGTCCAGGTTTCCCAACACCATTTATTGAAGAGAGTGTGTCTTTTTCTCTATATTCTTCCATCCTTTGTCATAGATCGATTAGATATAGAAGTGTGGATTGATTTCTTGGCTATTCTTTTTCATTGATCTGTGTCTATTTTTGTGCCAGTGCCATATTGTTTTGATTATTACAGGTTTGTAGTATATCTTGAAATCTGGGATTTGAACTAGCTTTGTTCTCAAGATTTCTTTGAGGTCTTTCGTGGTCCCATACAAATTTTAAGATTATTTGTTCTACTTCTATTTAAAATGGTGTTGGTATTTTGATAGAGATGACACTGAATCTGTAGATTGCTTTGTGTAGTAGGCATTTTACCAGTATTCTTCCAATCCATGAGCATCAAGTATCTTTCCATTTGCTTGTATAGTCTTCAGTTTCTTTCATCAGTGTTTTATAGTTTTCAGAGTATAGGTTCTCTTGCTTCCTTGGTTTAAGTTTATTCTTGGGTATTTTATTATGTTTGGTGCAATTGTAAATGGAATTGTCTTTTTAATTTATCTTTCTGCTACTTCGTTATTAGCCTATAGAAATGTAACTGATTTCTGTGTATTTTGTATCCTGCAACTTTACTGAATTTGTTTATTCTAATAGTTTAGTGGAGTCTTTAAGGTTTTCCATGTATAGTATCATGTCACCTACACATAGTTATATTTTAACTTATTCCTTACCAATATCGGTTTATTTCTTTTTTTTGCTGTGGCTAGGACTTCTAGTACTGTGTTGAATAAAAGTGGACACCCTTGTCTTGCTCCTGACTTTGGAGAAAAAGCTCTCAGTTTTTCACCATTGAGTGTAATGTGAGCTCTAGATTCTTCAGGTATGGCCTTTATTATGTTGAAGTATGTTCCCTCTATACCTACTTTATGGAGTTTTTATCATGAACATGTGTTGAATTTTGTCAGATGCTTTTTCTGCATCTATTCAGATGATACATGGTTTTTATTCTACCTCTTATAAATGAGTATCACATTGATTAATTTGCAAATATTGAACCATCCATGTATCCCAGAAATAAATACCACTTCATTCTGGTGAATGATCCTTTTAATGTGTGGTTGAATGTGGTTTGCTAATATTTTGTTGAGGAATTTTGCATCTATGTGCATAGGTGATATTGGCCTGTAGCTTTCTTTTTGTGTGTTGTCTTTGTCTGGTTTGGTATCAGGGTAATTATGGCCTCATGGAATGTATTTGGAAGCTTTCCTTCTTCTGTTTTTTGGTATAGTTTGAGGAGATACATGTTTGGTAGAATTCATCTGTGAACCCATCTGGTCTTGGACTTGGCTTTTCTTTTTGCTTCCATTTTGCATGTTTTTCCATCCCTTCACTTTTAATCTGTATGTGTCTTTAGGGCTGAAGTAAGTCTCTTATAGGCAGCATATAGATGAGTCTTTTTTTTTTTTTAAGGTTTTATATATTTATTAGAGAGAGCAAGAGAGAACAGCAGTAGAGGGAGAGGGAGAAGCAGGCTCCCCACTGAGCAGGGACCCCGATGCGGGACTCCATCCCAGGACCCTGGGATCATGACTTGAGCCAAAGGCAGATGCTTAACTGAGCCACCCAGGCACCCTGAGTCTTGTTTTTGTGTATCATTCCAGCACCCTATGTTTTTTGAGTGGAACATTTAGACCATTTACATTTAAAGTAATTATTGATAGCTGTTTACTTATTGCCATTTTGTTGTTTTCTGGTTTTGTAGTTCTCTTTTCTTGCTTTCTTTGTGATTGATGACTTTCTGTGGTGTTATGTTTGGCTTTCTATTACTTTTTTTCCCACATTTTTTTTAAGTTTGCCTTTTTATTGTTTTATTTTTAAAATTTTTTAAAAAGTAATCTCTATGCCCAGTGTGGGGCTCAAACGATCCTGAGATCAAGAGTTGCATCCTCCACTGATAAGCCAACCAAGAGCCCCTGTTTTTTTAATTTCTTATTTCTTTTGAGTTAATGCAATGTTACATTGGTTTCAGATGTACAACAGAGTGATTCAGCAACTCTCTAAGTTACGCTCTGCCCATCAGAAGTGTAGCTACCATCTGTCACCATGTAACACTATTGCAGTACCATTGACTGTATTCTGTATACTGTATTTTTTCCCTTTATTTTATCTATTACAGTTGTTGGGTTTGTGGTTACCATGAGGTTCATATATAACATTCTAAGTATAAAGCAGTGTATATTAGATGATGGTCATTTAAGTTTGAACACATTCTAAAAGAACTTCTTTTTCACACCCCCTCCATGGTTTATGTATATGTTGCCATGTATTACATCTTTTTATTGATAATTTCCCTACATCTAATTATGGCCTTCTCTTTTCCACTTAAAGAAGTCCCTTTAGGATTTCTTATAAGGCCAGTTTAGTGGTGATGAACTCCTTTACACCTTTTGTTTGTGAACTCTCTCTCTTCAATTCTGAATGATAATCTTGCTGGGTATTCTTTTTTTTTTTTTTTAAAGATTTTATTTATTTATTTGAGAGAGAGAGAGCATGAGAGAGGGGAGGGTCAGAGGGAGAAGCAGACTCCCTGCCGAGCAGGGAGCCCGATGCGGGACTCGATCCCGGGACTCCAGGATCATGACCTGAGCCGAAGGCAGTCGATTAACCAACTGAGCCACCCAGGCGCCCCTATTCTTGATTGTAGGTTTTTTTCCTTTCAGCGCTGTGGATGTATCGTGCCACACTCTTCTGGCCTGCAAAGTTTCTGCCATAAAATCAGCTGATAGCCTTATGTGGTTTTTCTTTTATGTAACTTTTTCTCTCTTGCTTTTACAATTTTCTCTTTAATCTTTGACATTTTAATTTTGTGTTGTGGACTTTCTTGAGTTCATCTTGTTAAGGGGATCTGTGTGCTTCCTGAATCTGGGTGTTTGTTTCCTTACTTGGAGAAGTTTTCAGCTATTTCTTCAGATTTTCTGCCCCTTTCTCTTTTCTGTTTCTGGGACCTCTATAATATGAATGTTCACTTGATATTGTCTAACAGATCCCTTAACTTATCATTTTTAAAAATTATTTTTTTGCTGTTCACCCTGGGTGCTGTCCATTACCCCACCTTCCAGATCATTGATCTGTTCTTCTGCATCCATTAATCAACTGTTGATTCCCTCTAATGTTTTTATTTCAGTTGTTGTATTTTTCAACTCTGGTTCTTTGTAGTTTACAGTTTTTTGTTGAAGTTCTTAGAGTTTTTTCATTCTTCAGTCCAGCAAGCATTTTTAAGATCATTACTTTCAACTCTTCATCATGCATATTATCTCCATTTCATTAAGTTCTTATTTTGAGGTTTTGTCTTTTTTGATTTGGAGCATATTCCCCCATTTTGCTTGACTTTGTGTTTGTTTCCATGAATGAGGCAGAACTGCTACTTATCCCAAAGTTGAAGGAATGGTCTTGGTGTGTGGTTTTCCCGTGTATGTAGATGGTATATGCCCAGTGATTTTTGTTGACTGGCTGGAGCTGTGGCTGGCATGGGCTAGAGGTTGCAGGGGACCCTGTAGTGGGGTCACCTTGGTGGGATGGCTGGAGTTTAAGTGGGTGTGGGCTGGGGCATTTCTGAGTCTCTTTGCAGAGGGTACCCTGGCAGGACAGATGAAGCTAAAGTGGGTGCAAGCCAGGGGTGGTCCTGGGGTTCTCCATGCATAGGGCACCCTGGCAGGATGGCTGAAACCAAAATGGGTGTAAATTTGGGTATTCTGGCATGCACAGAAGGTGCCCTGGTTGGGGCAGCTAGAGCTGCAGCGGGTTGCTGGCTGAGGAGATCCCTGGGTGCTTCGTGCAGGGGACAGCCTGGCAGTCAGCTGTAGTTGAAAGGGCTGGGGCATTCACAGGGCTCTCTGCACAGATGGTGCCCTGGAAGGACAGGGGAAGTGAGTGCAAGCCAGGTTGTCTTGGCAGGGCAGCTGGGGAATGGCCTAGAAAGCTGTCTGAAGCCAAAGTAGTGCAGGCCTGGAGTGTTCTGAGGTGCTTTGTGGAGCTGTAGTGAGCACTGACCAGGGCTGTCCTCATGTGCACCACCATGGGGCTGCTTTGGTGGGAGAGCTGGGGCTGGTGTGGTTTGGGGGCCCAGGGCTCACTGAGGTGGTAGGCTGGTTAGGGCACCTGGGCCTTGCTCCCATCTATGCTGTCAAGGTGGTGGGGGACATAAACTGTGGCATTTACTGGACCCTCCGACCCAGAGATAGTTAGCAGGGTTCAAGGGCTATTTCTTTATATTCTGGTGGTTCTTTTAAGCCATTATTTTCTGTGGCCCAGCATAGATAAATCTGCTCCTGGTACCTCATTACTATCCTCTGCACTGCAGTTTGCAGCATCAGGGGTGGGGCCACCCTTTGTTACCACCTCTCAGTCTCTCGCTGTTCTCTAGGTGGTCTGTGTTGTTGTACAGAAGCTGTTCAGTGAGCCCTCAGTTGTTCTTCAGGAGGAATTGCCTATAAATAGGTGGAGATTTGGTGTGCCCACGGAGGGGAGTTCAGGATCTTCCTGTGTCACCATCTTAGACTGGAACACTCGCTAGTTCATTGTTTTTAAATTTTTATAGGCTAATATAATATAGCTAGGACTATATGGGGGCATTATTAGACCGCAAAATGGATTAAGCAAGCTGTGAATAGCATTTTCTAGGTTCAAAAGCAACAATTCAAAAGTTTTTTGGTTTTTTTTTTTTTTAAGATTTTTATTTGACAGAGACACAGCGAGCGAGGGAACACAAGCAGGGGGAGTGGGAGAGGGAGAAGCAGGCTTCCCACCGAGCAGGGAGCCCGATGCAGGGCTCGATCCCAGGACTCTGGGACCATGACCTGAGCCGAAGGCAGATGCTTAACGACTGAGCCACCCAGGTGCCCACCGCTTTTTTTTTTAAAGATTTTATTCATTCATTTGACAGAGACAGTGAAAGAGGGAACAAATCAGGGGGAGTGGGAGAGGGAGAAGCAGGCTTCCTACTTAGTAGCGAGCCCAATGCGGGGCTCGATCCCAGGACCCTGGGACCATGACCTGAGCTGAAGGCAGATGCTTAACAACTGAGCCACCCAGGTGCCCTGCAACAATTCAAAAGTTTTAAAGCAAAGGTAAATAAAGTGAAAAGGGCTGTGTAGATGTATATATCTTACATTGCTATATTATAGGCATGTTAAATTTTTAAGTGAAGGAAAGTTTAAATTCTTCTGAATAGTAATGCTATTATAAGAAAAGGCTACTTACCGATTGGGAAGAGAAATTTAATGCAAAGGAGAGATTATGGTCAATCATTTCTGATCTAGATAATGGCTAACCACTCAGACACTAATTTAGCAGTGTTTTGGTGCTGTATTTTCACTTTTTTTATCCTGTGTTGTGTCTGAAGAGTCGGGACTGACCAGTTCTCTCAGTTTTGATGTCTTGGTGGGTGAAGGTCACTATAATTTTAACTTTGCAGCTAGAGAAACTTGTATATGAGTTTATTATACTGCGTTATACTGACCCCATTAACAAGAGTCTGATACATATATAAGTCAGGGTGCTAGAATCAGTAATTAGGAGTATCTGAGCAGGACATTCTTGTCTCTAAATCAGAATACGGAGGAACCCATAGTTTTCAAAATGTTGCTTAATGAGCACAAATCAGGTAAATATGAAAAACAGACAGATTCTCTTATAACTCTCAGTCATGTATGGCATACACCCTAGTTCCTAGAGCATACCCCAAGGTCTTCCGGTAACCAGCTTATTGTCTTTACGTTACTGTAAATTCAATAATGTCTTACAGAGACTCTTAGTTTAGTGATAGACTTAGGGAATAGCCTAGTTCTAATGCAGAACAAAACAGTTTAGGGTGGCTGATGTGGATGACTCATTTTAAACCACTTCAACTAGCCTGTGCTTGCTGTAATTTCTAAATCCCAGTTGCCTGTCTCATTACAGCATGTGAAAGAAAGAATGTCACAGCACACTGCAGAGATCTAATCAAGATCCTGAAGCAGGCAGAGGACCTGAATGAAAAGCTCACGCCACTGAAACTGATGGATTCTTGGATGGGAAAGGGTGCAGCAAAATTGAGAGTGGCAGGTGTTGCTCCGCCCAGACTTGCTCGTGAAGACCTGGAGAAAATTATTGTACACCTTCTTCTACAGCAGTATCTTAAGTATATACAAATCCATTTCTTGTCCTTTGGTGGTGTCTTTATGATTGTTTCTCATAACTGCAACAGAACAAGTAGTTTTCCAGTTGTTTCATATAAAACTCTTAAATGCCATATAAAATTTACCTAGTAAACTCCCAACTGATCACTGTATGTCAAAAAAAGTGCCATTTATAGAAAGTGTTCTGTGCAAGTTTCAGTCCCTATCAGTGTATTAAAATTATTAAAATTTATGGATTTTTTTTTATAAATTTGTTTATAATTTCTACAAGCCTTTCTGAGTGTCAGCCTTTACCTTCCACAGAGAAGACCACAGTTTCACAGCGTTTGCTACCATCTCATATTTGAAAATAGGACCTAAAGCCAATCTTCTGAACAATGAAGCACATGTCATTGCTATGCAAGTAAAGAAGCCCACGCAGAGCTGTTTCAGGGTAACTAGCTATTCCTTTCTATATACTGAAAAGAGCACATGAGAGCTTAGGGGATGCTCTAACTAGTACTGTCCTGGGCCCAGCGGAACATAAGAGATAAGCAGTTTTCTTCTTAGAATCTGAGCATGGAAGAGAGAAAACAAACCTTTACTTTCTGTAGAGATAGTAACTAATAGTTTAAACTAGTCTACCTTTTAACATAGACTAGAGTTTCCAACCTTTTAGAATGTGAAAAATCCGTTTTAGTGTTTAATTTGCGATGCATCCTGCCCTCACAACGTTGGTTGTGGATCAACACTGGTTAAGAAGTCGGCCTGAGCAGCAGAGGTCGAGAACCAATGACTCTCACACACTCAGTACTCTCAAGCCTACAAAAATATGCTATGTACCACTGTGTCTCTGACAACATATCCCTTCAGGGTAGGGCTCATATGAAGGACCAGTGGGATTATTAATCTGAAAAGAAAATGGAACAGCTGAGTTGTGACCAGAGTGTTTGCTTTGTTTTTATTTGCAGATTGAATCATCTCAAACTTGTCATTCTGAAGGAGCTGATAAAAAAAGGGAAGAAAAAAATTCAGGTCACTTCCAGAAGTCTGCAAACATGCTTCAGCAATCTAAGAATACAGGGACTAAGAAAAGAAAAATTGATGATGCATGAGTGTTCCTACATTTTCCAAGAAAACAGTTTATACATGTATACACCATTATTTTGTAGTTAAAAGTTTGAGACAGTTTTATTAATATTTTATACATATGGAACTTACCTCTGAAGTATTGAAGATTTGAAAATTTGAGATCATGACTTATGTAAGTTTACAGTATGAAAGAGAAAATTAATTTTAATGTAAAATATTTAAGAATGAGTTCACGTACCTATCTTAAATCCTTTATCCCTTCACATACCTTTTGATAGCAATGTTATACGGAGTATTTTACATAGGCTTACCACAGAAAGGGAGTGATTTCAGCTCATAACAGCTGTAGAATCCAAATGTAAAAGGAATAAGGTATCAATACTAATGATATTAGCAAGGAAGCTATTGCTATATCTCTAAGTAAAACAAAACAATAAGCCTCTTGAAACCATAACCCTCTCATATTTCATAATCGAAGAATGAGTCTGGCATACCAGACCAAGTTGTTGGCCAAGTAGCTAACAGCCTAGCTAAATCTGCTCCAAGGCTAAATCAGGATTAACTTAAATCCTTACATTTACGTAAGTGGTCAGTTTTCTGTTGGAAAAAAGTAACTGTATATTAGTTGATCTTTGCCATTTTATTTATATTTTAATACTTTCCCACTGAAATCATTATCACTTCTGTATTCTTAATTTCTTGAAATCAGTGCATTTACCTTATTGTGACTTTCAAGTGTTGTTTGGAACTTCATTTTAAAAAAGGCATTTTAAGAACTACATAATCTTCTAAATCCATATTTGGATCTAGCACATCTTCTCCATATGAAAGATCCGTCTGATTTAAAATTAAGTTTTCAAATGCTTCGTCTAAATCAGTTTCACCAATTAAGACAGCTCCCATTATTTGCCCATTCTGCATGACAACTTTGACATATTCTTGTCCTTTGGTACATCTCAGCCTTAATTCATGATCTGAACCTAAGCCCTGTGCGTTTTATTTTCCCAGCATTATGACCTGTATACAGAGATGATAAAAGTGTTCTAGTGTGTACCAAAAAGGAAACATGATATGCAGTTACACTGTGTTATCCTAGGATGGCCAGCACAAAAATCTATTCACAAAATTTTACAGCTAGAAGTGTCAGTGGAGACGTGGGTCACAAAACATTTGAATGACATTGCATTTATTGTACAGATGATACTACCACACAAACTCTTATCATTAAAAGTATCTAGTGAATTCAATATGTAGGATCTGGACTATATTAGCCTAGAGTCATGACTTAAAGATTTAATAAGGAACTGAGTTAGATCTTTCATGAACAAATTAATCTCCTTAAACTTTATGTATGTGTGCTCCTCCTCATCAGTAAAACTAAAGACTTGGCTCAGAGGAATGTAAAGAGGAGTAAATAATATGCAAGGCAAAGCACCTGGTTCATTCTTGAGTATGATAGTTATTAGTTCCCCTCACAAAACAAGAATGAATCTCAAATAAATGCAGAAATGCATCAACAGGGAACAAATCTGAAAGAGACTTTTCCCCCCTTAACTATAAAATAGTATAGCAAGAAAGTAGGTAATGATGAGTAAGACCAGCAATAATACCAGGTTTGATTTGCAAGAACTAGGAAATTGGTGATTTTTTTCTAAAATGATGAAAACCATGTAAATTCTTCTTCAATGAGAAAATCAGATAATTAGTTACAAGACTAACAAGCAGAAAAAGTCACTAATCTGCTTATCTAGAGTCTTACCTATAGTTTAAAACTTTTGTTCCAGGAGCAAAAAGTTCAAAGCTAAAGCCCATGTCAATAGATTCTCCTACTAGCTGCAGCCAATGCACTTCGCTGCATACCATCCCATCTGTCTGGCCTGCGTCCACAGCCTCACCTGAAAGAAAAAAATGCTATGAGAAAATTTTTCATTGTTGTAATTTAAAGGTGCCTTACAAAATTCCTTGAAGGGGTTCAGTGTTGACAGTCCTTGAGACTCGCTAGATCTAGCGAGCTAGAGGACTAGCTGGATTGTCTCTGGCATAAGTAAGCAGTCACCAGTCCACACCAACCAGACCGATCTTGGTATCTGATAATTTTATCCAAATTATTGCCTTTAAAATGAAAGGATGATACCAACTCTGTATGTTTCAATAAGCTCGCCATTAAAAATAATTAAAATATTTCAGGCTACACTAAGGTAAGAATACTACTTATTAACCAGTCTCTTCTTTCAGAGTAAGTTCATTATCAGCATAAGTAGAGACGACAAATTATCATTGAAAAATTCATTCCTTTTCCTAATCCTTAGTTTTTTGTGCTAGATAGTTAAGGCCTCCCATGCAGTTAAACCTCAATGGTCAGCCAGATCGATATAATAGGTGATGTCCAGCCTAAGGAAATCTTACCTGATTTCAGCAACCAATGCTGGGAATTCATTTTTGTTTGAGAGAGAAAGAAAGAGCGAGCTCAAGCAGGGAGAGGCAGGCAGAGGGAGAAGCAGCCTCCCTGCTGACCAGGAGCCCGACGTGGAGCTTGATCCCAGGACCCTGGGATCATGACCTGAGCCGAAGGCAGATGTTTAACCGACTGAGCCACCCAGGTGCCCCTGGAAATTCGTTTTAAATTCTTTCCTTACAACATTGCTAATTTCTCCTCTACTGTATTTTTATTGTATTTCTACAAAGTTTTGGGAATCCCTGATAAAACACTTGCCTTGGGAGCCAAGAGATTCAAATACCAACTCTTGTACATATTTAACTTTTTATTTTTATTTAATTAACTGAGACTTGATTTCTTTACCTGAAACCTAAATGTACCCCATCTAGTCCATGGCTACTGAGAGAATTAAATAAGCTAACCTACACCCCTGTACCTTATACCCCTGTGTGTAACGAATGTCCTTTTGTGTGCAAAAATACCACCACAATCATGGCTGTGATTTTCAAGCATTTCTGGTAGAAGTGATATGTATATATTTTTTGAGAGACAGAGAGAGAGAAAGAAAGAGTGCGAGCAGGGAGGGGCAGAGGGAGAGAATCCTAAGCAGGTTCAATGCCCAGTGCAGAGCCCGACATGGGGCCGGATCCCCCGACCCTGCGATCATGACCTCAGCTGTGAAACCACCGTCACATGCTTAACCGACTTAGCCACCCAGGTACCCTGATAATTTTTTTTTTTTTTTTAATTCCGTCTCCGGTGTATAAACAGAATCAGTTTGATGAAGTGAAAGAGGGTCTGTGGGAAGGGAGCAGAGCAAACTGAGCACAACGCTCGAGAATGGCTAATGGAGGCAGCCGGCAGTGTTACACCAGCCTCTGAGTCCCTCCAGTTGGGTCTTGGATCATGGAAAACTAATGAATTAGTGTACTTACTTATTGCTCCTACAAATGAAGACACAAGGTCTATTAGATTCACTCAAAACAAGAGACAGCTGTTTATTTTTGGATATTGCCTGTAGCAGAGTATGACACCTATTAAAGATATAATTTACCCTATAAGGTTTAAAATGTTAAAAAAAACCCACAAACTCCCAATTCCTAATTGAGGGTTGATGACAAGCCACAGAAGTGACAGAGAATGATTGAGGAGGAAAACTGAAAACAAGCTAGCACTTTAGAAAGAGGCCAAAAGCCTCTTCCCATAACTGTTATCTCTGTAAAAACAAAGTATTGAAGGTGCCTCTTAGAATGCATCTGGCCCTTCTGCTACTTCATATTCCACAGTTAATCTGCAGGAGGAAAATCTCTACCTGTGGAGCTGGTCTTTCACCGAGTGTTGCCTGGTTCTTTTATCTGTAACATCTACCTGTGTCTCTACTCCTCCTAAGACCACCTCGCCTACGGCCGAGGTCTGAATATCTTCCTCAAGGATTTCTGCTCCACCGTGAGGAGGCGGGCAGCACCGTGAGGGCAGGAGGATGTGGATATCCAGATGGACAGAATCATGTAGCTGAGGAAGAATGGTCGCTTTAGGAAATTTTTTCGGTCATAATTCCCACAGAGACAGAACTGGGTCATCAGGATCCCATGGGGCCATCATTCATCTATACGGTTTATACCTCGGTATGTTATTTATTCATCTAAAGCTGCGCTGTCCAGTCTGGTAGCCACTAGACGCAGGGAGCTATTTAAACTTTAAGTAAAATTAAAATTCAGTTCCTCAGTCATATTCAGCACATCTTAAGTGCCAATAGAGACATGTAGCTGGTGACTACCTGACTGGACACTGCAAACATACAGAACATTTCTGTCATCAGAAAGTTCCACTGGACAGTGCTGGTCCCAGTGTGTTCCACCACTATATCATAACTTATCAAAAGGGAAACATTCTTTTTTTAAAATGTCACAAAAACTCTAGGATAACTTCCTACTTAAAGTAGCAAAGTGGGAAAACCAGAAATTTGGATTTGCTGGTAGTGACTCACTCCTGTACCGTCAGATGGAATCTGATACAAGGTGTGATGGTGGATGCCGGCTTATCTGCGCCACACCGCGCTGGGCCTCCAGGACGCGGTGCAGATGTCACCCGCAGCATAGACATCAGAGAGACGTATGCATGTGAGCATCCACTTTCAGGCCTCCGTCTTCTCCTAGATCAAACTAACCAGGGTTCCTGATAAGCATATGTGGGAAGAAAAATGAAACAGGTCTTTTTTCTAAAGTAAAAGAACAAGTCAAATTTTTACACCTTGGTATGCTGATCTTCGGTGAGCGAGTAAAAAACAGCTGCCAAGTTTAGACAACTCAGCTGAAATTCCAGGGAATCAAAATCCTACTAGGACAGACCAACCAAAAAATTCGTAGACTTTTAAGATCAAAAACACTCAGTAACCATATGATTACCCCACTTGTAATTACAATATTCTTCAGTTTTCTGAGCTTCAAATGCTAAAAGGAAGAAAATACAGTTTCTCTAAAAGAATCATTTGTAAGATTTCATAGGTGTCTGTCTCATCACCTTTAGGCAAATGAACTGCATTATGTCCCATTTATGAAGACACTGATGCTGGGACGTTTATTGCTTAAGGACTTTAGGCAATACGAAATACT